CTAAGTCGCCACTAAATATCACTCTACAGTAGCGCTATTAGAGTTGCCACTGATGACTAATTATTTTTAGGGCTAGTAAGTCGCCACTAAATATCACTCTACAGTAGCGCTATTAGAGTTGCCACTGATGACTAATTATTTTTAGGGCTAGTAAGTCGCCACTAAATATTACTCTTCAGTAGCAACTTCAATAAAATTAGTTTGGTGGAACTCTTTCTTGTGGCGAGTACATTTATTTTTTGTAGCGACAAGGTCGTCACAAAATGTGTACATTCTGTGGTGACCTCATGTTGTCGCCACTAGTAACATTCAGTAATGGCAGTACTTGCAGCAGTTCCATAGCCGCCACTGTAAACATTTAGTGGCGACAATTAAAGATTTTGTGGCGCCTTTGGTCGCCACTAAAGATAGATTTCTTGTAGTGTGGTAGTCGGTTGCATTTGAAGTAAGGCTAGCATGTGGGCCGGTTAGGCCCGGGCCCATCCCAGGCCCGCGAGCCCATATGAGTAGTGGGCCTAAACGGGCCTAACCATTTGACCCCGGGACTAGGGTGGGCCTGCTAAGTGGGTCGGTTACGTTAAAAGACCCGTTAGGATCAGACCGTTTGGGCCCGGGACCGGGTGCTAAGTGGGCCGGTTCAACCGGTCCTAACCTGTCCCAAACAGGCTCAAACGGGCCCAACAGCTAAATTTTTAAAAAATTCCAAAATTGTTTTTGACCATTGGGGGGTTTAAAATATGGCCGCTGGCCTGCAAAAATAGCCATTTGAGCTTTGTTAAATAGCCATTTAACCCCCCTCCTCCCCAACTTTGTTTTAACTCCAAACTTTTTAAAATTTATATTTTTCCCTATTTTCAATGATAAATATCCCCTCATTCTTTCATTTTTCTCACAAAATCATCAATCTATCTCAATCTCTCTCTAATTTTCTTCTATAATTGGTTACTTTATTGTTGCAATTTGTATGAAAAATTATGAAGTTGGTAAATTGAAGTATTCAAGTCTTCAACGATAGTTAATTTTCAACAAGTTGTTCGCCAATTCGATAAACTCATTCCACCTGCTCCTTTTTTTGTTAGTGATAATACTTTATTACAATTTACTGAGAGTCAATATGTGCTTAATGTTGGAGGTGGTGAACACTTAGATCATGAATATGTGAATTCTCTTTATGGTAATCCAACTATTGATGAAGAAGATGAATAGAAAATAGATTTGGATGAAATGCAACCGAATGAGGATACACCCACTAGTCCTATTGCTTAAGATAACCCA